CAAACGAATGCTAGCAGAAAATTAAAGGGTTGCAGAGGGAAGTGGCGGCGTTAAAGTTGGGTGGTATGAAAGACGGATGTTTTGAATGCGGTAAGCCGAGACCCTGTCGGAGATACTGCCCAGAAAGGCGAAAGAGAAAAAATTTCAGACGGTATAATACGTTCATTATAAATTATTTAAATTAATCTCAGCGTGTTAAGAAAATCAAAACAAGATTTTTCTGAACGTTTCGCTGTGTAAGCCACAGCTACTTCAGCAGATTTATTCGGATTTTTATTAATCATCAAAATATGATGATTAATAAAAATCTGAATAAATCTGCTCCTCATGTATAAAATGAGAATATACTGTTATTTATTTATTTATTTATTTAAATCTGACTCGGCGCTCAAATTATTTCGGGAAGTTCGTAACACCTACGGCCTGGAAACCTATAATGGTATAATACGTGTTCTTTCTCTCGTATAAGACTAGATATAGTGGGGGCGATTGAGAAAGGGGCTGTGTATTCGAAGTTGCGAGTGAATGATCAAGAAGTAGTATGTTTAGTAGATACGGGGGCGGCTGTGTCCCTCATAGATAAGAACTTACGTACGAGTGTTAGTCCATGTTCGTTTACAGTACAAACGTTAGGTGGGCACGTATTACGTATCACGGGTAGATGGAACTGTACAGTCGTGGTTGCTACGAGGTGTTACGCCCGAATTACGACGGACGATACTTGGCGCGGATTTTCTGAGGGAGATTGGTGCCATAATCGACACGCAAGCGAAGGTTGTGATCACGAAATAAGGACGTATCAGCTTGTATGAGACCAGCGAGATAGCAGCGGTTAAGCTGCCGAAGGTACACAACATGATAGAGTTAATTAATAAATACGATCATATGTTCACTGGGGATGGGGACCCATACTGTTATTGCGATAAGGTGAATCATGAAATTCCGTTAAGTGGTCCGAAAGTAACGTCATTTACAACGCGAAGTGTCCCATGTCATTTGGAAGGCGAAGTTAAGCGACAAGTGTAAGAGATGTTAAAAGATGATATTATTGAAGAAGCTGATAGCCCGTACAACTCTCCAGTGCTGTTAGTAATAAAAGCGAATGGGAAGTATATATTCTGCGTTGATTTTCGACAGTTAAACAGTATGACAGAGTTAAGACCGTGTGCCATGCCAACAGTAGTAGAAACTTTAGATCGCCTACAAGGCGCAAATTTGTTTTCGGTTCTCGATCTTCACTCAGGATACTGGCAGATACCGATAAAGCCAGGTGATAGAGATAAGACGGCATTCATCGTGGTTGAGACACGATGTCGATCTAAACGCATGCGGTTTGGACCAGCAGGTGCGCCGTTTACGTTCAGACGACTAATGACGCTATTACTTAAGAACTTGAAAAATGTGGAGGTGTACGGTAATGATCTCGTCATATATAGTCAAAACGAAAGCGATCATGTGAACCATGTGAAAGCCGTGCTGCGACGCACTGAAGAGTTTGGAATGCGTGTCAACAAAACCAAGTCTCAGATAGCCAAAAGGAATGTAACTCTTCTGGAACATAAAGTGGGAAATGGTGAGATTAAACCACTACCGGAGAAAATCCTGACGATAAAGACGATCCCGGCCCCGAATTCAAAGAGAAAATTGAGACAATTCTTGGGTAGAGCAGCGTTTTATAGTCGCTACGCGAAGAACTCCAATGAGATAGCAGCCGTTCTGTACAGGCTACTAGGTGAGCCGAAGTTTGTTTGGTCGGAGTCACCTCAGAATACATTCGACAGGATTAAGCAGTTGCTCGACCACCAACAAACGACACTAAAGCTACCTGTATCTGGAAAACAGTTCACAGTGTGCACAGATGCCAGTGACTACGCCATAGGTGCGGTCCTAAGACAGGGTGAGGGAATCGTTGAGTATGCCAGTCGGGTTTTGACACATACAGGGCGGAAGTATTCAACGTAAGAGAAGGAATGTTAAACAATGATATGGGCAATCAACAAATGGAGACCTTATTTACTCGGCCGGCAGTTCCACATCGAAACCGATCATAAGCCGCTACAATTTTTGAAGACAGCGAGAGACCCACGGGGGAAATTGTCACGGTGGATGTTGCGTCTTCACGAGTACGATTTTAAGATCTCACACGTTCCTGGAAGTGAAAATGTCTTGGCAGATTTGTTATCGAGACCAGAAGACGAGTCTGAGTTGCCCGAGGTCGCTTACGGAGTGCATGCTGTAGAACAAGACCCTTTAAGAGTTGCACGCAGGCAGAAGTTGGACGGTACGCTGAATACAGTAATACAGGTGATGCGGGTGATGATACCTGTAAACTGGTGTCCCTCATGTACTGTACTATGAGAATAAATTTATTTATTTATGATCACTAACGGAATAGAAGTGGATTCAGCCACAGCGAGTAAGGAGCTAACCACACTACTCAGACAGAGAGATTGACTAAGAGTGAACGCCCACGGGACTCTGACCTGGCGGGAGAACGATGGAAGCTGGTTGGCCGTCATACCTCAAACGCTGCGCCACGACATGATGGAAGAATGTCATCAGCTAGCACATACACGGGTGGCCAGAACAACCGACCTCTTCAGACAAATTATGTACTGGCCAGGTAGGAGAGAAGACGTGGCAAGATATGTACTTGGATGTCCATGGTGCCAGCTAATGAAAGGCGACCGGTGCATACGACCACCACAAAGTCGATTCCAGTTACAGCGATAGGTGACTTGTGGTCCGTAGAGGTAGTGGGTCCATTTCCCCAGACATCCAATGGTAATCAGTACCTCTTGGGGATGACGGAACACGCGACACGATGGGTAGGCGCCGTAGCAATCCCAGACCAACGCGCAAGGACCGTGACAGATGTAGTAGTTAGACATATCGCTGCAGACGACGGCGTACCAAAGACAATACTGACAGACCAAGGTCCCTGTTTCGAAAGTGGAGAATTTACTTCCCGTTTGCAATAGCTGGGCATCATGAGGATCAGAACGGCCCCATACCATCCACAAACGAATGACCTGACGGAGAGAAACAACCGTACACTGAAGGAGTGGCTGGCCTCGAAGGGTGGTAACTGGGAAACGTAGCTTCCACTAATTCTACTAAAACATCGTGCTACCACCCAGGAAACAACGAAGAAGTCACCTTTTCAACTGATGTACGGTAGAAAACCACGATTACCGATACACAACGAGACCTGGCCCCCTCACCAAAAGTGGGGTACGACCAAATTAAAAGTAGAACGGAAAGAAGCCGTCAAGAATAAGATGGAGAAGCAGCGGAGGGATGTCGCGAAGTCTTGGCTGAGAGAAAAGACTCAGTGCATTACCTTTGCAGTGAAGTATTGAGACAGAAGATATGCAGTTGGATGCGGGCCAGGTTCACGAAAACTCCTTCCAAAGTGGGAAGGACCATACACAATCACAAAAAGGCGGGGGCAAACAGAAACGGGTTAACGCCAGTCAGATTCATCGATGGATTCAGTGGGACAAGCCACTCCGTGACAACCATCAACGAGAGGACGTATCACCCAGAAGCTCGGAACACCTGCGCGCGAAGCGATTTGAAGGGGGGTTGAGTGTGGTGAGAGCTGGCTGCTAGCCAAATTGGTAGACAGCAATTTACTTCAATGTTTATGTCCCAAATATTAGTCACGTGAAAACAAGAACAAAGACTGATAGCAAACTTTGCGTAGGTGGATACAATTTGCAGATAGATAATCCGAACTTCAAGAAGCGGCCACAAAGAGATGAAAGATTAACTTTCAATGAGAAACAACCAATCAGAAGACTGTGTTCGTCTGCTAACAATAATCCATAATAATGTACATGAAAATCTATAAATGTGTGTTGATTTCCTAAATAAACGATCTGTTGCCTGGCCCTTGTCTTCTGTTGTTATAGTGTTATCGATCGTTTCTGCTTATGTAGGAGAAGTACCTGATAGCATCCAGAGCTGCAGAATTATAGCCATCTTTTAACCAACCCAAGCATTTATATTCAAGTCATTTAGAATCACCAGTGCACTTACCACTAATATTTTTGATGTGAAACACTAATTTCCACGGGAACTGTGATTAACAGATGACTCACTTTTTGCCACATACATTCTGAATACTACGCCAGCAGGATTCTTTTAATTCATCTCCATGGAAACATTACAAAATGCTATTTCCATAGTGATTTAATAACTATTCCCTCAGTTGCGCATATAATTTTAAGTGTAAAATGGCGCTCTGCATTATTTATGAATGGGTACTTGAGTCTATATGGTTATGAATCAAATGTTTTAACTAATTAATTTACCGTACGATTATTGCATTTCTTTTATCATGGGTATTATCATTTAAGAGTAATTTTGGACTGTAATCTACTGATACTAACAACCGAATATTATTTCAATAAATCACTGGCATCGTTGTCATGCATTACGTATATAACTGCGGAGACTGATGGTGCTAATCAAGTAATTTGATGGCTCTTCATATGTTTGAATAGTTTAAATCGTGACTTTTCCTGTTCATTTCCACACTGGATTAACAATTTCTCAAGTACAGTCAACCTGATTTTCTTCGTTGCACAGCTCTGTTAAGAAAAATATCGTGACACAAATAATACATTTTTATCAGAATAAACGAATGTAACCCCTTATGTTGCGCTTAGCAAAACTGTAGCAGACAGAGAGATAAGTTCTAGTGGATTCCGATAAAGATATAGAATCGTTTCGAAACATCAGGAAGTGAGTAAAAGGAGCTGTTAAGTTTTGCACAAGCTCGTCAATGAAAATATTGGGTAAATAAAACCATCATTTATTTGATACAAGTTCATATGAGTGCATTTGGACGTTGTATATGTTAGGTGAGATACAAGTACGTTGGGAACAAATTTATGACATTTCTGAGCCCTCTACAAACACCGAGAGTGAACAGATTCGGAGAGTTCACAAGGAGAATTTTTACTGCACTACTTTTTGGGGTTGTTGACTAACTTAACCTTGGGTTAAGTGCACAGTTCAAAATGTTTTCGTCTCTCCGTCTCGCCGGAGTAGTGGAGGTAATAGCTATTTTTCATTTCGTCATATCTCCTAGAATAATGTTAGGAAATTACTACTCCGTAGATCACATGTTATTGGTATTGACCTGGGCACAACAAACTCTTGCGTGTCGATAATGGAGGGTCAGAGTCCTCGAGTTTTGGAAGATTCGGAAGGAAATCGAACAACACCTTCAGTAGTTGCTATCACTGATTCCGGAGATATTCTTGTTGGTCATCCAGCACGGCGACAACGTATTAGCAATCCTCAAAATACATTTTATGCCACTAAGCGTCTAATTGGTCGGCGGTTTACAGATCCAGATGTTCAAAGGGAGTTGAGTAATTTCGCATTCAGTGTGGTTATGGGGACGAACGAAGAAGCCTCTGTGTATGCCAATGGCAAAGTGTATTCACCTGCTGATGTGGCGTCGGTCATCTTAAAACGAATGAAGGAAATCGCAGGCACGTTTCATTTTGCTCTTATTCTCTACCACAATAGAAAATTATTTGAAAACCGATGTAAGTAAATGCGTTATCACAGTACCTGCATATTTCAACGATTCTCAGAGACAGGTATTCAGTTATTTCCAGTGAGTTAATATGATTCTCTAGGCAACTAAAGCAGCTGGAAAGATGATTGGTCTAGATGTTCTACGTATTATCAATGAACCTACGGCTGCCGCACTTGCCTACGGCCTAGACAAATCAAATGATAAAATGTAAGATGTGAGTATGGATTGAAAGGTTGTTTATCACTAGTGTAGCTACTTATGACTTAGGAGGTGGCACTTTCGATGTATCAATCCTTGAAATTGAAAAGGGTGTTTTTGAAGTTATATCAACAAATGGAGATACATTTCTTGGTGGTGAAGACTTTGATAACAGAATCCTCCAGTTTTTTGTATCATATATCAAGGATAAGGTGAGTATATTATTGCTAATAAAAAGTAGTTAGTATGGATTTGATGCAACCGAAAATGTGATCGCACTGCAACGTTTGAAAGAATCAGCAGAGACAGCGAAAATTGATCTTTCAAATGCTACTGAAGTGAGTGTGCAATAAGCCTATCTGTTTAATTTTTTCGTACTTGTCGCCTCTGTCACACTTAATTGTTTACTTTTAAAATCAACTTTCGATATGAAGTTTTACATTGTTGGGCTTGATTTAATTAGATAAGTTGTACAAGTTTGTTAGGTTTCCTCCTCTCTAATATGTGGAATAGAGTGAGGAGGTTTTGACGTTTCTGTATTATAGAAAGTAGCCTTTACTGCACTGTTTCTATTGTTCGTCAGCTTAGAAAAATATTTCACGGAATATACGATTTTACAAATGTTCCAGTTACCCGTCAGAGTTAAGAAGGTCATTTCCACCTGAAGTATTCACACAACACTGAGTTAGCAGTTAGTCATCAGTATCCAAAAGTGTTTAATGTACTTTGCATCATCATAATGCGAATCACTCATTTGTGCAAATTTGGTGAGGAATTGTGTTTGGATTCGTCGTCAAAGCAGTATTGTTCCTGGTAATCAGAAAGTTTGCATGTCCAGTTAGTGTGTCCTGGTGTATACATGTGATGTTAGATTTCGAGAAGTCCATTCGGAACTAGAGCTGCGTTGTCATGGTTTCACTGGTCGTCAAAACTCGGGCTTACAATAGTACTGTGCTTTCAGTTTTGCTCTATACTTGCGAAATTTGGCTTCACGACTGAGAATGTTGTATGACCCTGCGTGTTTGGTCATATCTATCTCGGTTGAAGTGCTTCCATCTCGTTGAGGTAATATATAAGTAATCTTGAGGTCTGACTGTATTTGGATAAAGAGTTTATTTACGAATTAGCGATATCATATTGAGATACTGGTTACGTTAGCCTGGCTGTGCTGGGAATGTTTTGCCAATGGTACACTGTTGTCTACTGTTCACTAACCTTTGGGCGATTTGAAGGTATCATGGTTTTGGCTGGTGTGAGATGAAGTACATCTTCTATCGGGTATTATCTCTTAAGATTGTATTATTGGGATGTTTAAAGTCATGAAACTGTAACACAACTACGAATTTTAAATCAGTTGCTATCACACTGTAGTTTTTTCGTTCCGTCGTCTATCAAAAGGAGTAGAATGTAATGGTCGTTCTCTTCAACTTACTCAGTGAAAATGCTTATGTAGTCATCCCCTTGTTGTTTCTACTTGTTTTTCTTAAAGATTGTTGTTAATTATGCTTTAGGTGATGTATTTCTTTGTGACCGTAATGTATCAAGTTTGTGCTTAGATAAATATTGAAATATAAATAAATATATGGCTCTAATTGGACCCTAGTCAGTAACTAGTGCGATGTGTCTGGTCCTTTGCTTAGTGCAGGCTGAGTTCTGTCATCAGTCAGATTTACAATCTGGCCACCATGCAACTAGGTAGCTCGCCATCACGGCGCACATTGGTTTTGATGATATTAGATGGTTGGAGGCAATCGACAGTCTGCGCCAAAAACAAAGGACTAGACACATCACACTAGTTACTGACTAGTGTCCAATCAAAGTATCCAATACATTCCTATAAGAAGGAGGTCAATCGTGAGCCTGAATAGCTACTCAGTGGTGGTAACTTCTCTGACTGCAGCACTGGGTGACGCGGGTCCGAATCTCACAAGAGACATGAGTTGTTCCTTCAAGGTTGCAGATACACCTTGCTGACTGGCGATTGCCAACTAGCAAGAAACCTAGGTCAGGTAGGGCTTCCGGTGGCCGATTCCCTCCAACCATCTAATATCATCAAATATATGTGGCTCAATTATTTCGTCATTCGTAACTACATTGGTAGGCTCAAAACTGTGAGTCCTTGAATTTTTTATTAGTATTAACATATGAGATTCTGTTTGTCTAACAGATTGTCGCTTCCACTTCTTCATCGAGTAGTTTTAACTTTTGTTAATGCAGTGCTTGTTGAATAACATACACGGCATATTCCATTTTTTTTTTATCATCTCGTAGGTTGTGGTGAGTTTACCACATCTCTTCACAGACTCATCTGGACCGAGACATGTATCACTGAAATTTACACGTACTCAAATGGAATCTCTAGTAGACGATTTGGTACAACGGACTGTATTACCGTGTCAAAAAGCCTTATTAGATGCTAATTTAAAACCGACTCAAGTAAAGGAGGTTATCTTGGTTGGAGGTATGACTCGCATGCCAAAAGTAAGCGTACATTTGTATTTTGTTACAGTTGCATTTCTTCTATCCATAATATGATTTAAAACTGATATTTGTGTAAGAAAAAAAGTTTGAGCTGACAGGAAATTAAAGGAATGAGAATGATATCAGTATCAAACGTTGAAAAATTCCTGCGTAGAAAAACGGGCGACAAATTGTTCAGTAGTAAGATACTTCGATTTTTGTTGGAAATGAGGTGTCTATATATATATATATATATATATATATATATATATATATATAAGTCTGCCGTTATTTTTATTCATGTTTTATATCTTCAAATCGTCAGTTTTCATTGTCTAGCAAGAAGTTTAAAAGTCATTCGCATCCTCAACATGGTTGGATGGATTGTTTACATTTCCCTGCGTTTATAGGGGAACATAAGACTTCAAGCCTTAAGCCTTGAATTCTCAGTAGCACTTGTGCAGTTTTTATGGGGTAAAGGCCAACCTTCCCTCTTTTTGCAGATTACTACGGCCTAGTTGAGGCTTAGGAGTGCGTCGGCCAGGAGTCGAACTGTAACCATGTGTGCAGTTGGTTAGCTTGCTACCCCATGTAACATCGACGCTGCAGTGACAGTAAATAACACTTTACAAATTCTTCCTGTATACAGTACTGACTAGTGTAGAGTTACAAATTTGTTACTGAACTTATCTACAATAGATTTTACCCAATAGTCTATGTTGTTTGTTCAGAGCTTCGAGTGAAAATAAACATTTAATTGTTGAAGGATCTCTTAAATTAACACTAGGCTAGCGGTTGCGCTATATCGTGAATTGGCAGAAGTTAGAATTCATGGATTGGCCATTGGATTGGGTCCCAGTGGCTTAATGGTCTACGAGCTCGCTAGCCTTGTAACCAGGAGTTCCTGGGTTCGAACTCCCTGTGGTGGGTGCGTACTGATGAAGAGTCCCAGCCAAAGTTGACGAAACAGCTGTCCAGTACTACCAGGTCGGTTTTCCAGTGGTTATCTAACTGATGTCAGCTCATGATGAAATCCTCTAACCAATCACTCAAATCCCTACAAACCAATACTTCCACACCTGTTTATTTTGAGAAAAATGAAAACGTCAGCGTTGTCTTTTAAAGTTTTCTTCTCTCCAAAGCAAATATTCAATGTGAGTCTTGCTGTTTTTTTAACTCTTCTAGTATTAACAATAAAGATAAGCAACATATATCACATACATTTTCCCTTTGTTTTTTTTGTATGTGCTTGAAACAGATTCACGAAGTTGTCGAAACTATATTTGGCCGTGCTCCTAAAATAACTGTTAATCCCGATGAAGCCGTTGCTATAGGCGCTGCTATACAAGTGCGTATCTATTTTTATTTTCTAACCGTAAAAGAGAATTTCATCCTACATTTTGCCTATTATGTGAAATTTTGTGAGACGATATCGTCATTTCGTAGTTTCTTTAGAATCGCTTTACAACTAACATGGTTCACAATAATAAAATAAAATGAATGACAATTACTCAGTTATATAAAACAAAAGTACATACTAATGACCAATCATATTTGAATAGGTCAAGTAGTCAGTCCATGGTAGGCGAAGGTTGAAGTCTATTCTGTTCTCTTTGTACACACAGTTTAGGATGTGTGTGGTGAATCCAAAGTGTTTCCATCAATGCTATTGAAGGTGATGGAAGCACTTTAGATTAACCACATACATCCTAAACTATGTGTACAAAAGACAATAGACTTCAACCTTCGCCTACCATGAACTGACTACTTGACCTATTCAAATATGATTGGTCATTAGTATGTACTTTTGTTTTATATAGCCGAGTAATTGTCACACATTTTATTTTGTTATTATTGTGAACCATGTTAGTTGTAAAGCGGTTGTAAAGAAACCACGAAATGACGATATCATCTCGCGAAATTTGTCTTCTAAATGCCTTATTCAAATTTATCAAAGAGACTAATTGTTTTAATAGTATGTAAAATCTTTTTTATGATGGTCGCTAGTGACTTGCTACAAGATGGAGTTTCCTGGAGTTCTAGGGAGAAGTCGTGACCAGTGAGGTCCATCCAGTCACGTGTGAGAATGAATGTCCCACTGATGACACTGGTTGGATTCGCACTAAATCACGAATTGGTAGAAGTTAGAATTCATACAGTGGCCATTGAATCGGGTCCCAGTGGCTGAATGCTATACGAGCTAGCTTGCCTTGTAACCGGAAGGTCCTGGGTTCGAACCTCCCTATGGAGTGGGTGCGTACTGCTGATGATTCCCAAACTAGGCTGATGAAACAGCTGTTCAGTACTCCAGTGCTGGTTTTCAATGATCCACTAACTGATTTCAATCCGTGATCAACTCGTAAAAACCAAAACTAACCCTTACAAACCAACTATGGAAAGTTATGAGACATATACCAGTATTTCTAAATTATTTCATGCACATACTTTCTGGTGAAGTGGTCTTGGATATTGATATAAGAATAGAACTTAGATAATGTGATAGAGTATAATTCTATCATAGAATTGAATAGATTTATTTTATAAAAGAACACAATGATACAGTATTGTTTGATGATGACGTTGGGAACACAGCTGATCGCTCAAAGTTGAATCACCGTATTCACCTAATATACAAACTTGGTTTATATAGTTCCATTATTTCTTATCCTTTTCTTTGATTTTATTGGTAGTAATATTTTTGGAATGTTTGGTATTGTCGCTGCATCATTCCTATTGTATGTTTTCTGTGGAGATTAAATTAACAAACATTCAGCGATCAATTTTTCCCTCCACCTACCTATATTACTTTTCAGAACTGCAGCTCTATTCAACCCTATTGTGTGTGTGTGTTTTCTGTTTGTTAATGCATTCATTGTGATTGGTGGTGGGGTGGTTCATTCTACATGGCAAAATTTTTATATTCCAATAATTTGACTATTCCTGATACACTGGTCTAACCTGTGTGGTCAACCTCATAGTTATTGCAAGGTGGTATATTGCAGGGTAGATTATTTTGTCTAATTGGGTCACTCGGGTTCTTTAGCCTACAGATCTTCTGTCTAAGTGAATTTGTAGATTTAAATACCACCCTGATTCCTGCTTTATTAAGAGTTATACACATGATGTCAGATGTTCTTTTTTCATTTTGTAAAAACGTAGATTCATTATTATAACAGTTTTTGTACTGAAGTGTTGGTTTCCAGGAATTCGGTATGATTGATCACAGGATTTCAGCATGAGATGACATCAGTTAGAGTACCATTTAAAATCCTGCGATTAACTAGACAGTATTTTTATCTGTTTGGGATTCTTCGAGTCAGACAAGGGTGCTTATTATCACCAATGATATTCCTAATTGTGGTGGACTGGATTATGCGTCAGACAGTGGGAAACGGGAAGACAGGGATATCCTGGACCGACGTGAAGAACCTAGAAGACCTGGATTTCGCGCGTGGATGATTTATGTTTGATGTAACAAAAAAACCAAAGACTTACAAGCGAAAACCGACAAACTGGTCGAGGAGACTGGCAGCAAAGACAGGACTCCAGGTGAACATAGACAAGACGGAGGTTATGAAAATAGCCAACCAACCAACAACAACAGCAGCAGCAACATCCAGCGCCAATCACCATCAATGGGAGGGATTTTAAAGAGGTTACTTTATTCACTTATCTAGGGAACATTGTCTCAACTACGGGATGAACGGACGAGGATGTCAAATCGAGAATCGGGAAGGCGAGAAACACATTCATCAACCTGAAACCAATCTGGAAATCTTCGTCACTCAACTCAGCATCAACAACAAAATGATTCGGATTTTCAATACAAACGTCAAGTCAGTTCTTCTATACGGATCAGAAACTTGGCGGGTCACAAAGAATATTTCCAACAGCCTGTTGCAGGGAGACCTTTATCAACAACTGTCTTCGCTCTATACTGAAAATCAGATGGCTGGAAAAAACAAGAACCAACAAGAAACGATGGGAAGAAACAAAACAAGAACCAATCGCTCAATAAGTATGCAGGAGAAATTGGAGATGGATTGGACACTCGCTGAGGAGGCCGCTGGGTGACATCGCGCCTCAGGCCAACGCTCGAGTGGAACCCGAAAGGGAAGCGGCGAGTAGTTCGTCGGTGCAAGGGGGACATGGAGGAGATCGTGTGAAGAGGAGTTGAAACAGTATGGATTAACATGGATGTAGGTGAAAAGTACAGCAGAAGACAGAAGCAAGTGGAGACGCGCAGTTGAAGCCCTATGTTCCACCAGGAACCCAAGGGAACAATAATTGGGACTCTTCAGCAATGCGCGACCACCAGGGTTGAAACCCAGGACCTTCAGGTGACAAGGTTAGCGAGCTCGTAGACCATTAAGTCACTGGGACCCCCTGAGTCCCAAACTAGGCAGTCGAAACAACTGTCCAGTTCTCCCAGCTGGTTTTCCACTGGTTCTTTAACTGATGTCAGCTCATGATGAAATCCTCCTACTAATTGATTTTTTTTTCATTTCTAACTCCCTGTTTCTATCCCCCTTTTTGTTTGCCTTTATTTATTTAGGGTGCAATTTTAAGTGGTGATGTTTCCGATGTCCTGTTGTTGGATGTAACACCATTATCGCTGGGAATTGAAACATTAGGCGGTGTTATGACTAAAATGATCCAACGTAATACAACGATTCCAACTAAAGTAACTCAAGTGTTTACAACTGCTGTTGACAATCAAACCCAGGTAGAATTTCGTGTTTATCAAGGTGAAAAAGAAATGGTAGCAGATAATATACTTTTAGGTGAATTTACTTTGGTAAGTCCCCCCCCCCTACTTTAGATTTTTATGACGCGAATTATTTTGTATACACTTAAGTTATTCTTACATTTTTGGCATGTGCCTTCTATGCCTTTGAATCATACGTGTCGACTGAGTTTTAAGGCAGCCGGTTAGTTGTTGTTGCACTCTGAAAATTGTTTATGGTCTAGCTGCTACCTTGACTTGGTGATCGCCGGGCTTGCATATCGCGATGACCCAACAAGCTACACTGGCTGGAACTATTGTTCCTGCAGGTCATACCTTGCAAGGAAGGTTGTTAGGATAGCGATTAGACTAGAAGCAGTTGTTGTTGTTTTACACTATGCTGGGGGGGGGTCTGTGGGCGAAGTCATACTGCTGGGGAACACGGATGTAACAGCAGTGAGGTGTTTCCCTCAGATGACCAGCATGCCAGCCAGCTATGCTGTCTCTCCACTCTGGAGAGAGGGGATTAGAAAAGGTCGACCCCAACAGTTGTACATCCCGACTTACCCTACGGTGGTCCGTAGCCGGTGGTGAGTTTACTAATACGGAGCCAAACCAAGAAACCAGTTCATACAGGCCGTATGTGACCGGCCTCAGGCAGTTGTCCCCTGGGCTCTGCGGTCACACAACACTAAGTCTCTTTCTGTTCCGCATAATCCAAGAATCAATCAACTACCACGGTGTGGTGAGGGCAGCCGGGAAGTAACAACCGCCCACCCACTTCCAAAAGCAGTCAGTCATAGTCTAGCTCGTGCAATTCCATATACTTGATGAATTAATTCTTTTGACTGATCCAGGTGTATTAAGCACACTTGTATGTCACCGATTTACAATTAGTATTCTCCAACCGAAGTATGATTTGGCACAATGGATGATGAATAAACTATCGCTTATCCCCATCTCTATGTGTATCTAGTGTTTGATATGCTCCTAGAAAGTTGATTACACCCACTGTGGACGCCGTAAGCGTGTTCTCTGGAAATGTACAGTTTAAAACCACCCCGATTTGATTGATAAAAGGCGATTTCCAAAAGGCTTTCACCAGACAGCATTGACTAAGAAGTAATTTGGAAACTACTTCAATACTACGGCATGCAGTACCCAATTCTTTATCAACCTCACTCAACAGCTGGCCATATATACGACAATGCCAAGTGTCAGGTGATCCACAACGGAAAACTCGGTGAAGCAAGGCGTTTGAAGTGAACAAAGGAGTAAGACAAGGCTGTCTGCCAATTATTAACGATGATTATACTCTTAATTGTGGTGGACTGGATTATGCGGTACACCATGAGTGGTTAGTGATAGCACAGGAATACGCTTCACCACCGATAAGAAGACTCTTGAAGATCTGGATTTCGCAGACGATATAATGTCACACAAACTCGAACTTACAGGCGGAAAGCAACAAACTGGCTGAAGAAGCCGGCAGCGAAGACAGGAATCCAGGTAAACATAGAGAAAACGGAGGTGATGAAGCTACCCACCAACCAACCAACAGCAAAAACAACCAGCACCAATCACCATCAATGGGAGACATTTGACAGAAATTACTTCCTTCACTTATCTAGCCAGGAAGCATGGTTTCAACCACAGGCAGTCGGAACGGGTCAAGGTATCAAAGCCAGAATCAGAAAGGTAAGATGCGCCTTCATCAGCCTGAAACCAGTTTGGAAATCCTCTGCACTCAGGCGGCATGAAGAACAAGATTTGAATTTTCGGCACCAATGTCAAGTCGGTCCTTCTATACGGGTCAGGAACTTGCACTGCCTGTCACGGAAAGGGTTTCCAACAGGTTGCAGACTTTCATCAGCAGCTACCTTCGCCGGCTCCATACTGAAGAACAAATGGCTGTTCAGAAAGAATTAGTAACAAGAAACTCTGGCTGGCGATGAAACAACCAAGAGCCGATTGCTCAACAAATATGTAGGAGAAAATGGAGATGAATCGGCATACATTGAGGAAGCCGTCGAATGACATCGCGCGTCAGGCCCTCAAGTGGGTCGTCGGTGCGAGGGTAACATGGAGGAGATTGTGTGGCAAGGAGGAGTAGATGAGAGAATATGAGCAATCGTGGGTCCACCTGAAGACGACGGCAGAAAATATAAGAAAGTGGAGATGTGTTGTTGAAGCCCTGTGTAATAGTAATATCAAAGAACAATATAGTTTTATTGGATATTATAAATTACAAGGAGTTGATGCATCTTCTCCACAGAGAACGATTTTAAGCCATGTCACCACCCATTTTCTCCAGCTTTTATTGGTTCTTACCATAACGAGGACCCCAACCAATCAGTCAGGGAGTCTTCACCTCCCTACGTGGCTGGGTCAAACTAACTGTTGTAGATTTCATTGACTGATGAAGCCATGTTTTGGTTTGACCACCACTAGCTCTCTCTTTACCAACCTGATCAATCCTATGTCAGTCAGCTAACATTACCCACTGTCGAGGAAGGCTATGGCTGGCTAGACATGTGTAACACATGTCCTAACTATCTCGATCGATGTAACTTCACAGCTTGGTCTATTGATTGAAGTAACAGATTGCTGGGATAAATATTATAGTATATACGCTTTTGTTTTGTTATATTTATTTTAGGTAGATCTTCCACCTGTTCCACGTGGTGTTCCCAGAATTGAAGTCACTTTTGACATTGATGCTAATGGTATTGTAAATGTATCCGCTAAAGATGTTGAGACTGGAAAAAAACAAGAAATTGTAGTCAGCGCAAAAAAGGCAACTGTCAACCGTGAACAAGTTGAACAAAAGTATCAACTAGCTGAAGTAATTCGTCAAACTTATTCACTTATTGAAGAAGTTGAAGCGAAGGTTGGCGAATTCAAGGCTAAACTACCCACTGGGCCTACAAATGATGTTTTAGACCTATTGGCTTCTACCAAGGAGAAATTAAAGCAAAATAGCGAAGAATTAACTGTATCTGATGTTGAAAATATGGCTAAAAAGATACAAAATATCACGTTGAATCTTTTTACTGGTGAAACTTCTAAGGTAGGTTATTTGTATTACGAGTTAATGTTAAAATGTTCTTGACATAGTTGTGAACGTTTCATTGTCTTTTCAGACAGCATCCCCCAGTGGGGAAACTTCAGTATGTGGCGTGAATTTATTTGAATTCTTCACTGATAAATGATATAATTTTATCTGCTGACAATGTTCGTTCTGAACGAAGAATATTCTTTTCAATACTTTCTCCTATTCAGGTTCTTACAGTTATAAAATATATAATATTTGTTGTCGTTACAATAATGATAACCAGTTAGTTATGCGGCGGATACATTTTTATTAACGTAGAATAATAGATTAGTAGTTATTATTATTATTGTTTCCTTTAATTCCTAGAGGAACATAAGGCTTCAGCCGTGCGTCTCCATTGCGTTCGGTTCTCTGCTAGAGTCTTCACCTAGCTCCATGTCTGCCCACACGCTTTCATCTCCTCCTCACATGACCTCCTCCAAGTCACCCTTGCGCTGACGACCAACTCGCCGCTTCCCTTTCGGGTTCCACTCGACCAATGGCTTGTCTAGTGATGTCACTTGATGGTCTGTTTCCTCAGAGTATGGCCAGCCAATCCATCTCCATTTCTTCCTGCCTATTTGTTTCACAATCGATTCTTGGTTGGTTCACTCCCAGAGATCTCTGTTGTTGATCTTTTCTGGCCGGCCATCTGATCTTGAGTAGTATTGAGCGAAGACAACTGTTAATGAAGGTCTGTAGTTTGTTTGAGATGCTCTTCATGACGCGCCAAGTCTCTGATCCGTATAGTGAGTAGCACTGACTTCACATTGGAGTTTAAAATCTGGATCTTATTCTCATTTTGATGCTGAGTGCTGTTGACCTCCACACAGACTTGAGAGTAGTGAAAGCTTGTCTTGCTTTCCCGATTCAAAATAAATAGTCGTATTTGTGTGACAAACGTGCTAGGTTGAAATCGATTACAAAATATTTCGGTGAAATGGGAGACAATTGTGGCGATTAGTCATACTAGATTTGTAGAGTGTGGGGTAGGAAAATTGACAAGTCAGTTCAAGGTTATAAAAGGTGTCAGGTGAGTGGCTAGTACAAGGTGGTCTGTGTTAAACAGGAGATAGTAACACTGCAATGAGAGGTTCATAATGAAATAACGAATATGTGAAATGAAACAGGTGGAGGTATATATTGAGAAAAGAGATAATATCACTAATAATAAGTCCGGATAGTATACACTGAAAATGAAAAATCCGATAGTATTGAGAGAATGTTTGCATGAAGGGCATTAATTATGACGAATAATAACAATAATATTTGTAATAATAAGCAAAGGAAAAAAACCAAGAAGTTTAAGGGGAAGGAGCACTCTTGGTGAGAAGAAGAGTCATCAGTCCAAGTTTGGCCATGGTAGGAACAGCGTCTGGACGTGTTCTTTTTGGATACAAAGTTCCGGTTTAGTCTATCTTATTGCGACAGCTTCAGCAGTGTGTAGGAGACGTAAGCGAACTGTACGTGATAACGACTTCGGAATTCGGTATTTAACCCTGAAAGCTGTGTTGACATCGATGCGATGTCCAGTATCGACCAAGTGTGACAAGATCGATCTTTTTATGCACTTAATTTCCCCCTTGCTGAACCAAGCTGGTAAATGTTCTCAAACCCGTAGACGAACCTGCCTAATACGACTATTTATTTTATCACCCCATAACTAATCTGTCATTGTACGTGAAAATGTATCCGCCGCATAACTAACTGGTTATCATTATTGTAACGACAACAAATATTATATATTTTATAATTGTAAGAACCTGAATAGGAGAAAGTATTGAAAAGAATATTCTTCGTTCAGATTGACTTTTAATTCATGATATGGGAATATTTTACATTATTAAATGTTCGTTCTGAGTGATTGTTAATTTATTTGACTGTTTTTTATTGACTTGGAATATAACTATTTTGCCATGTAACTTATTGGTTAGATCGTTTTCTGAGTACCAGATTGACTGACTGACTGGCTGGTTTCAACGTAGAACTTTGCACCGATGTGCACCACTCAGCTCGAGTTGCCACACTCCACCCCGTGTAGTACACAAAGAGAAGAGAGTATAGAGAGATAATAAACAGAAGTGTGAATGATGGGGAAAAGAATAGTAATCAGGAAGAACAATAGAGTTTTATTGAATATGACTGGTAAGTCACAAAGAGTGGATGTATGTGCGCCAGCCATTGACAACGACCACTTTGAACCATATCACCATTTGAATTGAATTTTAGATTATCCTGTCGATTGATTGGACCGAAGCGCTTGGTCTCAGGTTGACATGTCGGCTTCTAATGCAGATGCTTCGACGATGTCTGCGCATGTAATTAGAAGTTAATTGGTAGATGGTGACTAGCAGTGGAATCCAGAACAGTGCGCATTTCGTCTTATTTGGGACTCGTTCTCCAGCTGGATGTACCTGCATTCCACAGTGAGTGATGATGTTCCCACCTAGGCTCGAACCCGGTGCCCATAGTTTCACACGCCGAAGCGTTATCCCTTGGGCCACGAGAGCCACCTCATGTGCGATGGGTCATTAATTATTTAATTTAATTTTAGAAATTATGGGCACTGAGTTCATGCCTCGGTGGGAACATCAATACTCACTGGGGAATACAGGTACATCCATATGACGAGTCCCAAACAGGACGAAATGTGCGTTGTCCTGGATTCCATTGCTAGTTACCATCCACCAATTAACTTCATGTCACCAATTTTCTCCTGCTGTCGTCATTGGTTTTCACTATCATGAGTACCAAGCCTCTAGCAATTTTCTGACTTTTTTAATGTTTTCAAAAACTTCTACATTTCTCCAGTCAAAATAGTTTCCATAGTTGTATACATGCATGTTCTTCGTCTCGAATTCTAAGGAGGGGCCAACTTCGATCAATATAATGCCTTTAACAATTCATGCAACAATTCATATTTTGTAGATAGTGTTGATCTTGTCTTCTTTTGCTGTTTAGTGGATCTTTTAGTCTGCCTAGTATTGAATAAGGTGATTATGTTGGTTTATGATTGTGCAATATCTATTCCTGAATGGCTTTAGTATTCTGGCTGTTATTTCAGCACCATTCATGTGGTTTGTGAGGATAGTTTCTTGCTGGTAGAGTTTGCTTTGACTCTAAACATTTCCTCTGATAAAATTGTTTGGGTATTCAATCCTTCTTGAAGATAATTCGTAAATATTTCTTTTCTATCCTCCTCAGGATTGAAGAGTGACGCATTGTGTTTTTTGATTCTTTTGAATAATGTTCCTACAAAGTTTCTTCTGTTGTGCTGTTGTAGCTGAGTATTTGGTGCATGCGTGTGTGTGCGTTGATTTCCTGTGTTTTGTTCTGTTGACTAAAACATCTCAGAAAGGAATTTCGATGCCCAAATTCTTCGTCTTTTGTGAATTTGATGTCTTCAGGTGTGTTGTTAACTAATAAGGGTGTAACAACAGAAGACAAGGGCCAGGCAACAGATCGTTTATTTAGGAAATCAACAGATATTTATAGATTCTCATGTACATTATTATAGATTAGTGTAAGCAAACAAACAGTCTTCTGATTGGTTGTTTCTCACTGAAAGTTATTCTGTCATCTCTTAGTGGCTGTTTCTTGAATGTCAGATTATCTATCTGCAAATTGTATCCGCCTACGCAGAGTCTGCTGTGATTGGTTGTTGAGTCAGTCTTTGTTCTTGTTCTTTTCTCATGACCAATATTGGGGACGTACACTTTGACGTAAATTACTGTCTACCAATTTGGCTAGGAGCCAGCTCTCAGCAAAAGGGAGTGTTTTTACTTAAAGTCATTTCTTCTAATTAGGAAAGAATTACGTCATCTAAATAATTGTATCCAGATTATTAATTTGATTATTAATAGAGCAGCTATTCTGGTTTCCAGTCTTTGCATAATAGCGTCAGGAATTATCCCCGATTTATGAGTGATCCCACTGATCCTTCCTTTTATCTCTGTGTATATTTGGTCATAGAATTGAAGGTATGTCTTGAGACATAACTCTCTATGAGCTGCATTCAACTTGAACACTATTTATGTATGTTTATCAGTGTAGGGTAGGGGAAATCAATCGACGAGGCTGTGAAGCTACATCGACTGAGATGGTTAGGACATGTCTTGTGTATGCCTAGTCATCGCCTTCTTCGACAGTGGGCAATGTTAGCTGACATAGGGTCAGGCTGGAAAAAAGCTAGCGGCAGTCAAACCAAAACATGGCTTCATCAACCAATAAAATCCACAACAGTTAATTTAAGACAGCCACGTAGGGAGGTGTAGACTGCTTGACTGACTGGTTGGGGTCCTCGAGACTGTAAAAACCAATAAAGGCTGGAGACAATGGGTGGTGATATGGCTCAAAGTGATCGTTGTCAATGGCTGGTGCAGATGCATCCACTACTTGTGACTTATAATACCCAATGAAACTATATTGTTCTTCGTTATTACCATTCCTTTGTCTCACACCTCTGTTTACTGTCTCTTTTATGCATTTCTTCCACTTTCTTATCTTGCTTTGTGTGGTACATGGAGTGGAGTGTGGCGACTTGAACTGCTGCACATATGTGGAAAGTTCTATTTTAAAACAGATAGATAGACAGACAGACATTTACCCGGCCTATAAATCTTCTCTTTTTTATTTAATGTATTTATTTGGTTATCGTGTAGAACTTTTCTTTAAATTATTTCTTAAAGCCAAAGTTTGATAATTATTAAACAGGTAGGTAGGTGGCTATCAATACAGAATAGTAAACTTAGCAGATGTAAGCGGTGACTAGAAACAAGAGGTGATTGACCACTGGTAACTAACTTCCTAGTATTCTCATACACGTTTCAGTCCTTGAGTGCTTAGTGCGAATGTTAAACTACGAATTCATTTAAATCGATAAATGAATTAGTCAGGTTACTATACTTCCTTAGTGAATATTAGATCATTGGGTAGTAAAAACAAGCAGTTGGATAGTATCTTGATTGTTGTTTAACTTTACCAAGTAAATAACTTCTAACTGTCGTCAGCAAGACGTATCTACATCCTTGCAGGAACTGATGTCACCTCTGAGATTTGAGCGAGCATCATCAAGTGTTGCAGTCAACGATACTAACCACTGAGCTATTCAGACTCATAATTAACTTCCTCTAGGAGTGTACGTCGGTGGTTCAATGGTAAAATCCTTTTGACCAACCGTGTAGGAGATGCGGGTGTGATTCCTGGACGACGGAAGGCTGGACATGAGGCTAGCAACCCTACTCCGTAAAAAGCAAACCGCTGTTGCCGAAAACTTGAAGGCTTAAACCTACATGTGTTCCACTCGGAATGAAGGGGATGGGGAAAAAAAGTACCGCAGTTATCGGTCAATGGGTATAGCTCATGTCATGTGTTTGTCTGTCTATCTGTCTTTTTTCAACATAGAACTTTGCAACGATGTGCACCAGTTCAAGTCGCCACACTCCATGTACCCCACAAAGGAAGAGAAGAAAGTAGGAGAAATGCATATTAGAGACAGTAAACAGAGGTGTGAGACAAAGGAATAGTAATAACGAAGAACAATATAGTTTCATTGGGTATTATAAGTCACAAGGAGTGGATGCATCTGCGCCAGCCATTGAGAACGATTTTGAGCCATGTCACCAATTGTCTCCAGCCTTCATTGGTTTTTACCGTCCCGAGTACCCCAACCAGTCAGTCAGGAAGTCTACACCTTCCTACGAGGCTGCCTTAAATTAACTGTTGTGGATTTTATTGGTTGATGAAGCCATGTTTTGGTTTGACTGCCGCTAGCTTTTTTCCAGCCTGACCCTATGTCAGCTAACATTGCCCACTGTCGAAGAAGGCGATGACTAGGCTAGGCAGGAGTAACACATGTCCTAACCATCTCAGTCGATGTTACTTCACATCCCCGTCGATTGATTCCCCCTCCTTACCTAGAACTCGACAGAAGCCTCAGCTTATTATACCACTTCACACGGGAGATAGAGCGCAGGCACCTATGATCGAAGACAGCTAATCTTTTCATGTCCTGCATTCTCAATGGCCAGATGTCACAGCCATAAAGGAGGACGGAGTGGACTGTTGAGCAGTGCACACATCCTTTGGTCGATAGTCGAATTACACGTCTACGCCATAGACGGTGTAAACTGGCATATGCGAAACTAGCCCTCTGTATCCGTACTGAGATTTCATCAGAGATCACCCCGTTGGCACTGGCTGATGATGGTACTTCCTAAATAAGTGAAGCGGTCAACGTGCTCATGTCATGTCTATTGTCCTTTTGGCGGGCAATAACTGAATTCCATCAGCCGGTTGGCTAGTCAGTGTATGTTTGTATGTATATATATATATATATATATATATATATATATATATTGATGCATCCCAGTGTTCATTTTTAATTTTCATTCACTAATTTTTCTCTGTTTTACAGAACTGATAGTCACCTAATGGTGTTATTTGGACAATAAAATTGTCGTGTATCTAAGATTCAAAGAGAAAGATCGCATGCCTACCTATACGTTTTTACTGTACTCAATACATTCATTCTCAAGTGGACTTACTCTTTAACTAACCAATTTATTTTTTTTAACAATTTTCAATTCACTTTATTCCCTATCGTTTCTACAGTATACAAATAGTTGTAATGTATATATAGAGAGATTGTTGGCTTGTTTCGATTTCCATAACTACTGCGCCTTAATTGAAATTCATTACATAGTGATGTTGAATAGATTCACAATTGAGCTTTTCTCTTCTCTAAACGTGTTTGATGTGTTATCCAGTAGTATTGTTATTTTCAAGAATTTACGGGGATTGGATGGGTGGGCATTGAAGCGGGTCCCAATGGCTGAATGCTATAAGAGCTTGCCTTATAACCGGAAGATACTGGCTCCGAACCCTAACAGTGGGTACATGCTGCTAGCTAGCTGTCCAGTACTCCAGTGCTGGTTTCCACTGGTTCTCTAACTGATATCACTCCGTTGTCCAACCTGAAAGTAGTGTTGTTATTCTCTTGATTTCTGAGTGGAATATGTAGGGCTTCAGAACTACACATCGTCACGACTGCCCACAAGCTTCGATTGCTTTTTCCTACAATCTCCTCCATGTCACCCTTGGATTCCCGATCAGTTCGTTGTTTCCTATTTGCGTACTACTCGAGAGTATACCTAGCATGTGATACTATTCAAAGGTCTCCTCAGAGTATGTCGAATTGATCCCCATTTCATACACCTACATATTTATTGGGTTACGGGTGCTTGGTTGGTTCACTGTCTGCTAAAATCCTTCGTTGTTCATTCTTTCTAACCGACCATCTTATCCTCAGTGTCGAAAGAATAATAATAATATAGAAAAAGTCTCCATTTAGACATTTAGAAAACAGAAAGATTGAGCGAAGAAATGTTTTTACTTTTCAATTAGATCCTCATCTTACTCTGGCTCTACTCTAATATATATTCGTAGCATTTTTATTACAATATACAACAGTTTACCAATCAAGTGGCGACATGTTTGTTAACAATAATTACTAAGTGTCAAAATGTCAATGGGTTGATAATTAACGAAGAAAATCAATACACACATTTAAAAGGTAGAAATGGTTAGAATAAATTATTTAAAGATGAAGTGGTCAAAATAAATAAAAATAAAATAATTTGGACAATTGTAATTTTATAGTTTTTAAAGGTTTAGGTGGAGGGGGCGACGTAGTCCTGTTTATGCATTCTCGTAACGATGGCCACGGTAACGAAAGTGGTTGTACAAATTTCTTCTGAATACACACACACAGGTTTGGCTTCTTCAGGTGGATTCTGATTGCTTCAGCTGTCGTATGTAGAAGACGAACTCGTAGAGCAAAATTAAGTTTAGTCGGAATGCGATAAATAATTTTAAATGCAGTATTGTAACGACAGAAGGCAAGAGTCAGGCAACAGATCATTTATTAAGGAAATCAACGCATATTTATATATGTTTTCATGTACATTACTATGGGTATGTAAACAAACAAACACAGTCTTCCGATTGGTTGTTTCTCACGACAAATCTTGGGAACGTAAATATTGACGTAAATTACTGTCTACCAATTTGGCTAGTAGACAGCTCTCACCACAGTATTAACATCAACCTTATGCTCAGTATCAGCAAGGTGTGCTAAAATAGAACTACGAATAGATCTTGTTTGTCCGTAATTGTACGCCCAATGTGGCTGGCTCCGCAGCTGCAGTCAAACTGGTAGATACACATAGAAGAGGCAAATTTTGGTAGTTTATCCTTATTTCTCGAACATAAAATTGAATAGAATAATAATAGTAATAATAATCACTTTATTCCAAACAACAATAATAATGATACAGAATGGAATTTTCAGCGTCTTTATACATATTGCAACAATTTAGCTCCTTTTATAAATATGTACATACATAAAATTTAAAACAGTAATCATAACATTAATAATGAAACCATCACTATAAACAGAATGATGGTGGAAACATAATGAATTATAAGTATATTTTCAATTGATCAAACCGCTATTTATATAAATACAGCTTTATATTCGTTAACCAGTCACTGAGCTTGTGATTTTTGGTTTACACTAAACGACATGAAATAGAATGTTCCAATATACATATACACATAGTATCCTGTTACTAATGCAGTATTGAACTATGAGAATAATATTCCGTCGGAACACACATTGTCTGTATCACACCGCCACAGTATGTTTTCAATTGGATTTCACCAGGCTTTACTCTAATCTAGAGACATAACTTTCAAATAAACAGTTCAATAAAAGAAAAAACACAAAATCGAGCAAAGAATATCCTTTTCGATAATTTCCTCTTCTGGCTCTACAATTATATACATAGATATGTTTATATACATAGAATATTCTAGAATAGTAGTCAATAACAATATTAGTGTTTTTTAAATAATATCCATTTGTAAAGTATGATCAATGCAATTACAGTTCATTAAAGATGCTTAAATTATAATAATAATAAAGATATAATAGCGAATAGAATATCAACTAAAATTAGGGAAATTCCACAAAAATTCTGGATTATTCAAACCTGGATGGCCAAGGTAATGATAATGTCTGAACTAACTTCTTTTGGATGCATAAATTAGGCTTTTCAATATGGATACAGAACTTCGACCAGAACAAGCTGGATTCAGGAAAGGCAAATCATGTTCTGACCAAATTCCAACTCTACGCATTATCATCGAACAAAGCATGGAATGGAAATCAAATCTCTACCTCAACTTTATAGACTTTGAGAAGGCCTTCGACAGCGTTAACCACGAAGTAATTTGGAAACTACTCGAGTACGTCGGCGTACCCCAAATATTCATCAACCTTATTCAACAGCTGTACGACAACGGCACATGTCAAGTGATCCACAACGGAAAACTCAGCGAAGCCTTTGGAGTAAACACAGGAGTCAGACAAGGGTGCTTATTATCACCAATGATATTCCTAATTGTGGTGCACGACTGGATTATGCGTCAGACAGTGGGAAACGAGAAGGTAGGGATATCCTGGACCGACGTGAAGAACCTAGAAGACCTGGATTTCGCGGATGATTTATGTCTGGTGTCACACAAAATCGAAGACTTACAAGCGAAAACTGGCTGGTCGAAGAAGCAGCGAAGACAGGACTCCAGGTGAACATAGAGAAGACGGAGGTTATGAAAATAACCAACCAGCGACAACAACAGCAGCAACATCCAGCACCAATCACCATCAACGGAAGGGATTTGAAAGAGGTTACTTCATTGACTTATCTAGGGAGCATTGTCTCAACTACAGGAGGAACGGACGAGGATGTCAAATCGAGAATCGGGAAGGCGAGAAACACATTCACCAGCCTGAAACCAATCTGGAAATCTTCGTCACTCAGCCTGCATCAACAACAAAATGAATCGGATTCTCAATACAAACGTCAAGTCAGCTCTTCTATACGGATCAGAAACTTGGCGGCGGGTCACAAAGAATATTTCCAACAGCCTGTTGCAGGGAGACCTTTATCAACAACTGTCTTCGCTCTATACACTGAAGATCAGATGGCCGGAAAGAACAAGAACTAACAAGAAACTATGGGAACAAACAAAACAAGAACCAATCGCCCAACAAATATTCAGGAGAAAGTGGAGATGGATTGGACACTCGCTGAGGAGGCCGCTGGGTGACATCGCGCGTCAGGCCAACGCTCGAGTGGAACCCGAAAGGGAAGCGGCGAGTGGTTCGTCGGTGCAAGGGTGACATGGAGGAGATCGTGTGAAGAAGAGCTGTAACAGTATGGACTCACATGGATGCAGGTGAAAAGTACAGCAGAAAACAGAAGCAAGTGGAGACGTGCAATTGAAGCCCTATGTTCCACTAGGAACCCAAGGAAACAATAATAATAATAATATGGATCCACACAGCCTCAGCAATATTTAGTAATCGGACTCCTAAGGCAAAAATGAGATTCGTAGGTATGCGATAAATGACCCTGAAAGCATGGTTAACGTCAATCTGGTGTGCTGTATTCACACGATGAGAGAGAATAGCGCTGCGAATAGATTTTGTTAGTCCTTTGCTTAACCAGGCAGGGTGATTTTCGGAAATTCGACGAGAAACACGCCTAACTGTACGACCAATGTAACTGGCTCCACATGAGCAGTTAAATTGGTGTATACACATGGAAGAGGCGAAATTAGGCAGTTTGTATTTTATTCCCGAAAGCAGAAGAGGAGTGGTTTTAAAGATACAGCGTAATTCAACAGCAGCAGGGAATGCTCTTTTTACCGCCTCATTTCTAAGGCGCTGTGTTAGTATCTCACTGGTGGGTGTACTTTAATATAAACCAATCATGGTTATTTGTCAATAAGATAATAAAATTGGGATTGTGCAATTAGTCATAACGACAGTTCTATTAATACTAAAGAGGAAACAAAAAAATGGCGCAATTTATGATAACTAGGATAATGAAAAGTGCTGTGATCAAACAAAAAAATGTTTGGATAGGCATAGTAGATAAAAGGGTTAAGAAAACACTTATATATATGTAACTCCATATTAATTTGTTTATTAGATATATCACACACAGTGTGAAACAGGATTTTTATTTACTGAACGACGACAAAGTTTCGAACATAATACATTATTGTTTATAATCATATCATCAATTATAATCACACAACTTCGAAACTTGAGTTTTATAGTTTTCTTTATTCTTTCCTATTGGTCGTCGTAGGGGTAGTAGAATTTTCCACATGTCCGGGTGGACTGGGGTTGAATCATTTCTATTACATGTATTTGCAGTTGATTCGATAATTAAAGCTTCTGTTATCAATCTCGCCTTCTACTCTGCTGCTACATTAAATTTTAAAACTGTCATCTTATCCCATCGCATCCTATTGTATGCATAGTTGTGTGTAAATGCACGTAGTGAGTGCTATAGCTGAACTATTCTCCAGATTTCTTATCTTATTTGGGTCAACTAATCTAGATTTTGCTGCTAGGTTTTTATGTTCGGCTAGTCTGACTGCCCCTGTTCTACTACTTTGACCTATGTATTTGATCTAACAATCATTGCAGGTAGGGTAATAGATAAACTAAATTGTTTTGTTTAATTGGCTCCACTGGCAGGATCCTGTAGCCGACAAAGCACGTTTCTAATTGATTTTGTGGGTTTGAATGTCAGCCACTTTTATTTCTGCCTTGTTAAGAATTCTGCGTAAGGCAA